ACGCTTGTCATTCTATAGATCAGAACTGAAACAGAGAGTTATTCTCAGTACTGCGCCCCTGCTCTGCACTCTCCATACAGCCATTCTCGGTGCAATGCTGCCCCCTGGCGGAGGTCGGGTGTCAGCGCAGTGTGCAGATCTGTGGGGGAGGGGCGCCCTCATGTGGACATTTGATATAATTACATGGAAATGAGATTTGTTACAAGTGACACAAATCGGAGGAAGATTCCCCGGATCAGAGACTTTCATTGTTATCGGCTGTTTCCGTGTTTATGTCCATTTTAGATTGTAAGCTCTCAGGATCAGAACCCCCCTCCATCTTGTCCTCCTCATATTGTACAATGCTGCGCACACTGTTGGTGACATATAACTCCTCAATAATAATCTCTGAGAGTTTATATTTCACTTTTATCGCCATTTCTGCGGAATCTCTGTGTGGAGGTCTCGCTCTGTGTGGAGGTCTCGCTCTGTGTGGAGGTCTCGCCCTGTGTGGAGTTCTCGCCCTCTGTGGAGTTCTCGCCCTGTGTGGAGGTCTCGCCGTGTGTGGAGGTCTCGCCGTGTGTGGAGGTCTCGCCGTGTGTGGAGGTCTCGCTCTGTGTGGAGGTCTCGCTCTGTGTGGAGGTCTCGCCCTGTGTGGAGGTCTCGCCCTGTGTGGAGGTCTCGCCCTGTGTGGAGGTCTCGCTCTGTGTGGGGGTCTCGCTCTGTGTGGGGGTCTCGCTCTGTGTGGAGGTCTCGCCGTGTGTGGAGGTCTCGCTCGGTGTGGAGGTCTCGCCCTGTGTGGAGGTCTCGCTCTGTGTGGAGGTCTCGCTCTGTGTGGAGGTCTCGCCCTGTGTGGAGGTCTCGCCCTTTGTGGAGGTCTCGCTCTGTGTGGAGGTCTCGCTCTGTGTGGAGGTCGCGCCCTGTGTGGAGGTCTCGCCCTTTGTGGAGGTCTCGCCCTTTGTGGAGGTCTCGCTCGGTGTGGAGGTCTATGGTGGATGATCTGCACTCCATAATAAGTGGTCTTTTCCTGGTTCTCTGCTCCCCCATCCCCCGCTGTCAGTCGGCAGAGCCGGTGGTTCCGGCACGGTGAAGGAACATTGAGCCTTAGGTCTGTGACGGTGAATTTCATCCTGAGAGGTTCCCGCTGAGTGAATGTGACGGCGAAAGATCAAACTTTCCGCTGGTTTCCCCGGCAACTGGCGAGTATTCGGTGTGATGGTTGGAGACGGGCAGACTGTGTGACACTGAAGAGGACCTGTCAGTGCGGATCTCATGTATCGGGGATTCAAATTCTTCCACAAAATTATGATTTTTACATATTGAGCCGTTTTGGTGACATTTTTGGGGGTATTTGGGGCTCAGTCACCCGAGGACGCGCGGTCACGGCGGATATAACACATCGCAGAACTTTATTTACCTCCATGAGGCGCCTTGTGATGCGTTCTATCACCCCGGAACTCTCTGCCCCAAAAATGAAAGACGTCCTTGGAGTACAACCATCAACTCTCCACCGAGGAGCCGGGTCCACCGCCAACCGATCACCGACGTTCCATCCGCAGGATTCTCTCTCTCGGGATTTTGTGGTTCATTTTTATTGATCATATTAAGTCTAAATTTGTATCTATTTCAATGAGATCCGAAATCACCCGGCGCCGAGGTCCGGCTACAGATTGTGGGACAAAGTCATTACCTCGTTAGAGACAGATGATCACCCCGGACACAACCAGAACCTTCTCAGCTTGGCCTTCACCCGGAGTCTACAATACTGACCACCAGGAACCAGAACCTCCTCAGCTTGGCCTTCACCCAGAGTCTACAATACTGACCACCAGGACCCAGAACCTTCTCAGCTTGGCCTTCACCCGGAGTCTACAATACTGACCACCAGGACTCAGAACCTTCTCAGCTTGGCCTTCACCCAGAGTCCAGAACACTGCCCACCAGGAACCAGAACCTTCTCAGCTTGGCCTTCACCCAGAGTCTACAATACTGCCCAGCAGGACTCAGAACCTTCTCAGCTTGGCCTTCACTCGGAGTCTACAATACTGACCACCAGGACCCAGAACCTTCTCAGCTTGGCCTTCACTCGGAGTCTACAATACTGACCACCAGGACCCAGAACCTTCTCAGCTTGGCCTTCACCCGGAGTCTACAATACTGACCACCAGGACCCAGAACCTTCTCAGCTTGGCCTTCAGCCGGAAACTAGAATACTAACCACCAGGACTCGGAACCTTCTCAGCTTGGCCTTCACTCGGAGTCTACAATACTGACCACCAGGACCCAGAACCATTTCAGCTTGGCCTTCACCCGGAGACTAGAATACTGACTACCAGGACCCAGAACCTCCTCAGCTTGGCCTTCAGCCGGAAACTAGAATACTAACCACCAGGACCCAGAACCTCCTCAGCTTGGCCTTCACCCGGAGTCTACAATACTGCCCACCAGGACCCAGAACCTCCTCAGCTTGGCCTTCACCCGGAGTCTACAATACTGACCACCAGGACCCAGAACCTTCTCAGCTTGGCCTTCAGCCTGAGACTAGAAAACTAACCACCAGGACTCAGAACCTCCTCAGCTTGGCCTTCACCCGGAGTCTACAATACTGCCCACCAGGACCCAGAACCTCCTCAGCTTGGCCTTCACCCGGAGTCTACAATACTGACCACCAGGACCCAGAACCTTCTCAGCTTGGCCTTCAACCTGAGACTAGAATACTAACCACCAGGACTCAGAACCTCCTCAGCTTGGCCTTCACCCGGAGTCTACAATACTGACCACCAGGACCCAGAACCTCCTCAGCTTGGCCTTCACTCGGAGTCTACAATACTGACCACCAGGACCCAGAACCTTCTCAGCTTGGCCTTCACCCGGAGACTAGAATACTGACCACCAGGACCCAGAACCTCCTCAGCTTGGCCTTCACCCGGAGTCTACAATACTGACCACCAGGACCCAGAACCTTCTCAGCTTGGCCTTCACCCGGAGACTAGAATACTGACCACCAGGACCCAGAACCTCCTCAGCTTGGCCTTCACCCGGAGTCTACAATACTGCCCACCAGGAACCAGAACCTTCTCAGCTTGGCCTTCACCCGGAGTCTACAATACTGCCCACCAGGAACCAGAACCTTCTCAGCTTGGCCTTCACTCGGAGTCTACAATACTGACCACCAGGACCCAGACTACAACCTCTAGGCTGGTTCAGGCCTCTAAACATCCACCAAAGTTCACTGCTGTCTGTGTCTCCTTTTGGGAGAGTGAGTGTGCTGGGAAACTAACCCTTCTGTGTGCCCCGCGCTGTAAAGCTGGTAACAAATTGTTGTGCGTTTGCCATTTGTTTTGCTTGACTGATTTGGTGCAGTGACGCATGGGGGGGTCTCAGCTGCCTTGTGATGTGCGGGGTCCCTTGTGCCCTAAAGGTTGGACTTCCTCCTGACAAACCTGCACCCAATTTTATCTTCTGCCCCATGTGCTCCAAGATGGCGGCTCACAGGTCAGAGTTAGGACCGCACTATCAGAGGAGCCTTGGCGCGGCCGTCACATGTTCTGCAGATGACGTGCATCCGAACCTCTGTTATCACCTCAGCGGTGAGACGCCGGCCGGTGAGTGTGCCGGGAAACTTTTTGTTGTTGTCCTTTTGGGAGAATTCTCCTCACTCTTTGTATCCGGTGGCACCAAGACAGGAAGTGAGGAGAAATCTACAGGAAATAAACACAACAATAAAAGGAAGACAGGGGTTCTAGCATCTATTTTCTGAGGTTTTTGTGTTTAGTTTCTTCTTCCTGTGAGAAGATTGGTGTGGGGGAGGACACGGGGCCCCCTCAGTCCTTCATATCAGACATCGGGGCCCCCTCAGTCCTTCATATCAGACATCGGGGCCCCCTCAGTCCTTCATATCAGACATCGGGGCCCCCTCAGTCCTTCATATCAGACATCGGGGCCCCGATCTGTCTCATCTTTTCATTGTAGACGGGGCCCCAGAGAAAAGCCCCGGGCTCCGGAGGATGGGGGATTATTAAATGTTCCCAAAGAGCTAACAGAGGAGAAATGAGGATCGGAAACAAAAAGGGGAGAGGAGCAAACAAAGGGGAGGGGCGGAAACAAAAGGGGAGGAGCGGAAACAAAAGGGGAGGAGTGGAAACAAAAGGGGAGGAGCGGAAACAAAAGGGGAGGAGCGGAAACAAAAGGGGAGGAGCGGAAACAAAAGGGGAGGAGCGGAAACAAAAGGGGAGGAGCGGAAACAAAAGGGGAGGAGCGGAAACAAAAGGGGAGGAGCGGAAACAAAGGTTCGGTGATATGATTGGTGTGATATTACAGGAGACCAGCAGCAGCCAAACGTCACTTTTATGCGTTATGAATGCCGATTGCCGATTGGCTGCTTTGGGTTCTGCGCTCAGTACACGTCTCTTCCATCCGACGTCACCAATCCTACAACGGACGCATGAAGACGCAGGAAGCAGAGCTGCGGGATGACCGACATTTACTAATTAAAATAACGTAAAACCAGAGACAATAATAAATAATAAGAATACAGGAGACGCACATTCCATCCGGTGACACCACACATAACGGGGTCACCGCTGCGGAGGGACACGGAATGCGAGTGTGGTGACCCCGAGTGCCATACACAGCATTGCTCCCGTGTACAGACCTCCATGCTACATTTCAGAGGACACATCTGCCCCCACATGTGAAGATTTGTGTCTGTGGCCTCCATTCCCGCCACTACTGAGGTGAAGAAGTACATTTCAGTGCGATACATGCGTTCTATACAAAGCTTGTGCGTCTTCCATGTACAATACACAACATCTGCGCGCGGACAGCGACTAGTGGACGTGGGATCTCCTGCGTACAATCAAACGTTGAACATTCGAACCTCCCGCAGAGATTCCGTCACCAGGGGGCGACCTGAGCAATGGGACTCATTTACCCAATCTACTCCTTCCTGTTGTGTGGCATCCGCTCAGGGGACACAATCCAGTCTGTAGTGGGCGGAGTCTTCTATGAGGCCGGTGCGGCGATCACACTCTCCAGCAGGATGTCCCATACACAGTACAGCAAATGCCTGCGGAGACACAAACGCAACACCCTGAAAGCCGGCTCTGGCACCCCGCGGGACGCAGGAGACGCCGGAACAATGTCATATGAATTCCTCCCAAATTACCTGTTTCCACACA